TGGCACAGCAATTATGTTTTGTTCTGTGAGACAATACATTTCCAAAACCCTATACTTAAAGGGGGTGAAACCTGTCAGCCAGCATTTCACGCTCATGCCCTTACGCACATGAGTCCATACATGTCAGGTATGTGTTTATGTGTGTATGTTTGCTTGTGTGTGTGTGTGTGTGTGTGTGTGCGTGTGATGGATAGATCAGTACAGTACACAGATTAAGCTGTTTGAAGTACAGAGCCATGGGAAGAAAGTAACCGAAGGCAGTGATAAAGAGAGGGAGAGGCTTTCTGTCAGTGCCGGGACATCAATTAACAGTTCCTCTCCAACTAGACACGTAAATCACATTTCTACATAAAGTACAGTAACTTACCCACAAACATGGCACAACACAATCTTTGTTTAGAAGTACTGTTTAGAAGATTTGAGAACATATTTTAGCATCCAATGTTGTTTATTTTAAGTGACTTACAACAGAAAAATAAAGAAAAAAGTCTGAGCTTCTATGACAGTGCATTGATATTTACTGGCATTGCCATTTTAATTAAATATTTATTTATTATTGTATATATTTATTTTTATTATTTAACTGATTTTCTTTTCATAAGTAATTAAACTATAATTAAAAGTGATGAAAATGCAAATAATTTCAGGGCCCAACTCTTTTTTTTTTCTTTTTGATTAAACACAAACATGGCACAACACATTCTTTGTTTAGAAGTACTGTTTAGAAGATTTGAGAACATATTTTAGCATCCAATGTTGTTTATTTTAAGTGACTTACAACAGAAAAATAAAGAAAAAAGTCTGAGCTTCTATGTGGCACCTGATGTGCCTGTACTTTTCTTTGTTTTTTCAGACCTATTCTAGCAGTCAGCATCAAGTGCCATATATAATTATAAACAGGATTATTATTGTATATATTTATTTTTATTATTTAACTGATTTTATTTTCATAAGTAATTAAACTATAATTAAAAGTGATGAAAATGCAAATAATTTCAGGGCCCAACTCTTTTTTTTTTCTTTTTGATTAAACATTTTTTTCAATTTTACAGGGGTGAAAATTTTCTCCTGTACATGTATAAATCCTGAGAACATATTTTAGCATTTTATATAAGTTATTTCATGCAATTTTTCTTTTTGATTAAACATTTTTTTCAATTTTACAGGGGTGAACATTTTCTCCTGTACATGTATAAATCCTGAGAACATATTTTAGCATTTTATTTAAGTGATTTCATGCAAATGGGAAAAATTAAAAAGTGGCCAGAGTAGGTTTACAGTGCATTTAAAATACGAATGTCAACTGAGTGCCCATTGCATTGACCAAATCTTTAAAAATAATGCTATAATGCTATCATAAGTTTTCAATTTTATTGAGGTATTTTTTATAGTTTTTTTTTTATCCTACACCCCAGGCCACTGACATTACTCATTCCTGGTTTGATTCCAAACTGTTTAAGGGGTCGATGCAAAGCCCAAATTTCCAGCCCAGAACCAAATTTTCTTGTCTTTTCTTTTGAAACTAGCAGACTGCTGCCAAAGCGGGAACTGACTCCATGCAGGCTGTATGTTTCACATCCTGCAGTTCATCTTCAGATTTTCACTGCATATACCCAGAAGAAAACAACACGTTCATACCCCTATTGCTTTAGCGCTAGTGTTTGTTAGTCCATCATCAAAGTTAGCAGCGGACTTGGGCGGGCAGGCAGGGCAGTAGTGGAAGGGGATCGGGTGTAAGTTTGAGAAATTTCCATATGTCCATATGGCAATAAAATGTCTGCCACTTTACTTATTGAGTTTGTAATGAATGCCAGGTGCGTAGTCTGTTTTTTCAAGGCACTCCATGGACATGCAACTAAAAGAATGTTTAAAGAAATCTTGCTGTTGGACCATAAACTGACTTTTCAACTATTATAAAATATGCAGAACGGTTATTACTATTCATAGGGACAATAAAACAAAAAAAAGTTCTCAATGAAATTTAGAATTCGAATAACATTTAACAGTTCACATATAATGACAAATAACCAAGTAATACAAGTTTTGCAAAACAACACAGAACCTAAAGGCAATAGGCCATTCATGCAAAATAGACCCCAGAGTTTTGGTCAGGGTTTTAGCTTTCAAATAACATTTAAACTTTCAAAACAGTTCACATATAGCGACAAATAACCAAGCAATAAAAGTTTTGCAAAACAACACAGAACCTAAAGGCAATGAGCCAATCAGTCTATTAACTTGAATTTTCCATTCATGCAAAATAGACTCCAGAGTTTTAGCTCGACCTCATATTTATGGCTTCACACACATACTTTTTTACTTTAACAAACATTCATATTAGAAGACTTCCTCAGTGTGCGGCTAATCCCTGTTCTCGTGACCCAACCCTCTTTCAGATCGCACACATGATTTCGATAAAACACAAGACTGCCTACACAATAAATCAAATCTCACTTGTGTCTTTATACAAGAGCAGCCCTATACATAACAAATATATGACAGAATTGTGGAATTGCAATTAATACTCTCTCTATTACACTTAGACTCACTTACTTGTGTATGTTGTGCTTTGTCGCAGAGTTTAACTGGTCGTTTATTGTTCAAATAAGATAGAAAAAAATAAAAAAATAAAATAAATAA